GGAAAAACCTATCGACAAACTAGAAGACATTCTGCACAGGTTAGATAGAGAAAAAATAGCCAAGAACCCAGAATACTTAAAAGGAAGTTAGGCAGCACTTTTCTTTGTCGGGATGGAGGAAAGTGTAAGAGTCGCTGTGGAAGGGAAAACACCATGCTGATTTTTAAGTGTCTCCATGGGAATGAACTCACTTGGATTCTGCAGTTTTTATTTGTAAATTTCCAAGTGGAAGCCAGCAGTTTATAAATATCTTCATCAGCATGGTCTAGGAAGATGGAACCTTAGAATACATGAGGATTCAGAGTCTAGGTCTGACTCGGATACTAGCTTTTCCATAAGCACTCAGTATGACTCCATGCTGATGATCCAGTGTCTCAGTCAGAACAGGAACTGTCCCCACAGGCTCCTGTCCTGAGCACATGGTCCCCAGCTGGTGGTGGTATTTTGGGAGGTTTGGGAAATTTGAGGAGGCAGGGCCTAGTTAAAGGAAGTAGGTCACTGAGGTGTGCCTTCAGTGGTTATTGCTAGTTGCTAGTCATTCCCACTCTTTCAGCTTCCTGCCTGCCATGAAGTGATCTGCCTCTACCACACTGCTGCCACCATCATGTTCTGTCTCACTTCAGGCTGAGGGGCCGTGAACTAAACCTTCTGAGACAATGAGCCAACACCACACACACACACACACACACACACACACACACACACACACACACACACACACACACACAAACACCAAAACACCTTTGGGCCAGCAAGTGACATGGCTCAGATGGTAAAAGCCTGTTGACTTGAGTTCAGACCATAGAATCCACATGGCAGAAACACAAATGACTCTTGCAAAATTTCCTCTGACCACATGCACACTGCAGCATAACCTCCAAATAAACAACAATAAAAAGTATACTTGCTTGTAAAAGATTTACATGTGTTTTGCTCTGTGTAGGAGAACTTTAATTCAGAACAGGGCTGTTCTGGCAAAAGATCACATCTAAAAACCTTCAAGGTCTGTGTGATCCATTTGGAATACAAACACGCCTTTAATCCCAGGAGAAGAGGCAAGCAGATCTCTGAGTTCAAAGCCAGTTAGAGCTAGTTTCAGGTAAAGAGAAGCTGAGGTTCAGGCATGGTGGTACACTACTTTAATCCCTCATGAGACAGAGGCATGCAGATCTCTTGAGTTCTAGTCAGTGCTGTTCAGGCAGTTCAGCCGAGTCAGGTGGTTGAGAGGCAGTGCAGTGGAGCTGAGTTCTTGGCAATTCAGTTCATGGAATTCAGAGGCAGTTTTTACCAGGAGAGTTTTACAGAGAGAGGTTGAAGAGAGAACAAACTGGACACAGGTAAAGACAGAATGATCCAGAGAATGAGAAGGAGCCAATATTAGAACAGATTGCTAGAATTAGTTTGAGGCCAAAGAGAGCTATTCAGTGGGAAACTGAGAAGCCAGATAGGATCAGTCAGCTTGGAGAGGAGTTTAAGCCAGAACAGCAGAGTTGAACAATCCAGAGCTCAGTAAGAGCTAGAAAGGGTGAGCTTATTCAGCAGAGGCTGAAAACATTCTAGGCCTAAAGTAGATTGTATGGAGGCTAGAAGCTTTCAGGACTAGGCCTCAGTAAATAGACAGAGGCAGCAAGCCTCTCAGATGACAATTACATCAGGTGAATAAAAGTTGCTTTAATAGTTGTGTGGAGAGTTGAGATGTGGGAAATAAGCAGATTGAAGGCCTGATAATGTTTTGTAAAGAGAGAGAGAAATAAATAGAAATGTCTAAGTAGCATTGAGCACTATCAAGTGTATCAATGTCATGGACCCCAACTGTAACTGATATCAGTAGCAGAGCACATGGAGCAAGTTTTCCAGACATGTGTAAGGCCATGGCCACCTGCTTATTCTTGCTTGGTTTTGATGTCTGGTGTTAGAGACACCTGGAGTTGATCAAAGTCTCAGAGGTGCAGTGATTTGAGTCCCTAAAAAGCTCATATATTTGAATGTTTAGTCATTCAATAGTGGCACTATTTAAAAGGATTAGAAGGATCGAAAGGTTCAGCCTTGTTGGAGGAAGTATGTCACTGGGGGTGGGTTTGAGGTTTAAACCTCTCTCTCTCTCCCTTTCCTCCATCAGGAAGGAGCTCTTAGGTGCTGCTACAGCACCATGCCTGTCTGCTATGTTCCCAACACAAAGATAATGAATTAATATCTGAAACTGTAAGCAAGCCCCCGATTCAATCCTTCATATTGTAAGAGTTATGTTGGTCATAGTGTCTCTTCACAGCAAAAGAACAGTGACTAGCAAGCTAAAGTTTCATATTATGGAGAGAATCCAAATGTGTACTAGTTATATCTTCAGTTATTGATAGTGGCAGAGGAAAAACTTTCAAATGTTTTATGCAATGCCTGGCCATGTTTTCCAGATTTTCAGTGTGAGTTAATTAGAATACAAACAAAAAGTCAGACACTGAGATCAGATGAAACCAAAGTAGGTCAGAGTTTTCCATGGCAGCAGTGAAGTAGGAAAGCAACATTTTCACTAAGTTTTATTAATGCAAAAGCAGAAATTAAAAGCCCAAACTGGTTTATGATAATGGTTCATAGCTTTTTGACTAAGAGGCCCAGAATAGAAGAGAATTTTTGTTTGATCTCTGAAAAACTGATCACGTGTATCCTACTTTTCTTCAACCACTGCAGGCATTTCACAGATGTCCAAAAGGCAGCTCGAAAGGGCCTTACACTCCAAATTCATAATGCAGAGCCAAGCGCAAAACATGCATGTGAAAAGCATTGGGTTTCACTGGCATGCTACTGATTACTCTTTAGTGCATGTACTTTTTAAAAAATATATTTTAATTTTTTATTTTTTTAAAGGATTTATTTATTACGTATACAGTGCCTGCAACCCAGAAAAGGGCATCAGATCTCATTATAGATGGTTGTGAGCCACCATGTGGTTGCTGGGAATTGAACTCAGGACCTCAGAAAGCACAGACAGTGCTCCTAACCTCTGAGCCATCTCTCCAGCCCCAGTTTCTTTTATGCTTTAAATTAGGTGTTTATTTCGGGGTCGGGGGCAGGGGGTATGTGCTCATGAGTGGTAGTACCTGTGGAGGCCAGAATAGGGCTACAGTCCCCTGGAGTAACAAGGGAGCAGCTGACATGGGTGCTGGGAATTGAATTCCAGGCCTCTGCAACAACAGCTGTCAATCTTAACCACTGAGCACCCACTCTAGCCCCTCTTGCACATACTTTTGCATGGCTTTAATACAGGAATGATTTAGGATTTGACTTTTGTTCTTCTGCTTTTTTTAAAAATTTCTTTCTTTAAGATTTATTTATCTATTTTATGTATAAGAATGCTTAGTTTTCATGAACACCAGAAGAGGTAATCAGATTCCATTAAGATTGTTGTGAGCCACCATGTGGTTGCTGGGAATTGAACTCAGGACCTCTTAAAGAGCAGCCAGTGCTCTTAACCACTGAGCCATTTGTCTATGGCCATACTGCCCTGAACGCACCTGATGTCTGATCTCGGAAGCTAAGCACGTCGGGCTGGTTTGTACTTGGATGGGCTTTGATTTTTGTGTTTAATTGTTGTTCTGTGATTCTAGACTCTCACAGACTCTTTATGAATGTTACTCTCCTAAATTCCTGAACATATTTTGAAAAGATGTTATATCATATTTCACACACGTCTTATTTCATTTAAGTGGCACATGTTTTGTAGCAACAAAATATGTGTAGAATTGCAGAAAACATTTTTGTGCTTCAAATTCCTATCAAAAAAATTTTAAGTCAACAGACTTTTAAAAAATCCACCCTTACCTTTCCCTTTTAATTTGTTCTGTTCTTGCATTTCTTCTTGATCTAGTTTTCTTTTGCTATGTGAAGCTGAAGAGCATCCTTGAGAGCAGATGAAAAGGTGTATCTTTGGCTCAACGTTTTTGACAGTAATCTGTGATGAATTAGGCATATATTTGGCCTTAATTTGGATTTCAATTCTATTCTTCATAATTCATGTTTTCTTTCATATTCCTCATAATCCTGTCAACACTGGATACCTTAAGCATCTTTTGTGCTGTTGATATTGAATAATCTCTACAGCAGTGGTTCTCTGCTTTCCTAATGCTGCAACCCTTTAAATGTATACCTCATATTGTGGTGACCTCTAGCCATAAAATTATTTTTGTTACAATTTCATAACTATAATTTAGTTACTGTTATGAATCATAATGTAATTATCGAGCTGATATGTAGGATATCTGATATGTGACCCCTGTGAAAGGGTCATTTTGTCCCTCCCAGGAGTCGTGACCCACAGGCTGAGAACCTATGCTCTAAAAAGTTGATTAGTACAAACTTAATCCCAAGCAGCTTGTATAAAAGGCTGTTACATTTAAAATGTCTGTAGCTGAGCAGGACATCGTAGCACACACCTTTAATCCCAGCACTCAAGAGGCAGAGGCAGCCAGATCGTTGCGAGTTCCAAGCCAGCCTGAGCTATGTAGTGAGTTACAGGATAGCCAGGCCTACATAGTAAGATCCTGTCTCAGGAAAATTAATGTGTAGAGCGAGGGTGGCAAGATGGCTCAGTGGGTAAAGATGCTTGCAGCCAAACCTGAAGACCTGAGTTGGACCCCCAGAACCCACATAGTGGAAGGAGAACTCTGACTCCTGAAAGTTGTTCTCTGAATGTCCCATGTCTGCAAACATTGTAAACAAATGTATAAAAATGTCTACAGTGGATTATGTTATTGAAAAGATCAGTCAATTATAGTGATTGAACCTAGGACTAACATGCAATCTCTCAACCATCTCGTCTGCTGTTTAAACCTTGCTCTTCTCCCTTTTCGTGAGCCTTTTCTTTAATTTGAAAGTTTGTTGGGACTTGCTTAAACTTTAAATGGTATTCTCCTTTAATACGTTTATCTCTCTACAACAAAAAGCACTTCCGTTGCTTACTCTAGTGTTGAATCCTCAATCCATTTGTCTCAACTGGTATTTGCCCACAGGATTGTAAATTATGAGAACATTAATAAAAACGACTACTACACAATTAGCAGAAACGCAGTGACCCACATTTGCAACAATGAGATCGAATACATCGAGATTGCACGGTGGGAAAAGGAGTATCTGTACCACGAAAAGCTCACGAAGATCCCCATCTTCTCGCTCTTCCGGAAGTGGAAGGCTTTCAGCGTGTGGAGGAAGAACGTCCGCTCCAAGAAAATCACCGGCTGCCGGAAAGCGCTGCAAAAGAATCTCTTCATTGTCAATCCTGTACGTATTCCTTGCTCACCGGTGTTGGTACAGACACCCCATTTCATCGTGGCCTTTGTCCAGTCGCATCTAGCAATTCAGTAATCAGTGTGTTCCGGCCCGCTAACCGGGGCAGCAAAGGGCAGGAGTGTGAGGGAGCTGCCCTGTCTACGAAGATTTACGTCTGTTTCTATGGCTCAGCAGCCACAGCTTGCTTTTCTCTGAGAATAATCTGTTATCTATCTATCTATCTATCTATCTATCTATCTATCTATCTATCTATCCATCCATTCAGCATTCTGCCTGCTTGTGTGCATGCACCCCAGAAGAGGGCACCAGATCTCATTATAAATGGTTGTGAGCCACCACGTGGTTGCTGGGAATTGAACTCAGGACCTTTGGAAGAACAGCCCATGCTCCTTACCTCTGAGCCATCTCTCCAGCCCAGGCTAGCAGATTTTTATGGCCATGTCAGTTGTGCAACAGAGGAGGCGGAGAGAACTAACATTTATAGAGATCAATAATAACTAAAATTGACCACGCAAAGTAAGTGTGGAGGATGCGTCATCTCCGTCACTGATGCGCCTCAGCAGGCTGACCTGTGCTGGGATAACCCCTCCCTCGCAGCACTAAGCTCAGACTCTCGTCTCACGTCATTGCGGACTTAACAGCCACTTGAACTTCTTTACCATGCTTTGAACACTGCATATGGTGTTTTTTTTTGTTGTTGTTTGTTTGTTTGTTTGTTTGTTTTCTTTTTTTTGGTTGGTTGGTTGGTTTTGGTTTTTGGTTTTTTGTTTTTTTTTTTTTTTTTTTTTTGGGGGGGGGATTGTTTGTTTTTGTCATTACGGAAAAAAAATCCTGGGTTTTTCTTTTAAATGACTTCTCCCAGCCCTCATGGCTTATTCTCTTATGTACTGAATCAGACTGTCTCTTTGCCAGTGCTGGAGTGGTCATGACAGAGTCTCCTCTTAAATTTCTTGTGAGCATGCTAGAAAGTTCTCATCCTTCTAAGCTAAGATTTACCTAGGAAGCGACCCACTTTCATTATCTACCCACTTTCGCTCAAATACCTGGTAACCGACACACCGCAAGCACAATCTATATAATTAAGTGGCTGATTCTTCTAGACTAGGATAAAAGAAGAAGATGCATGAAATTTAAATTTTTTTATTTGAGAATTGCTTAAATTTAAAATGGTCAACCTTTATTTTGTGTGTTGCCTGCATATTTGTCTATGTACCATATGTGTGTAGGGCTCGTGGAAGCCAGAGATGGTTGGGTCTCCTGGGGATGGAGTAACTGACAGTTGTGAGCTGCCATGTGGGTGCTGGAAATAGAACCCAGGTCCTCTGAAGAGCAGCCATTGCTCTTAACCACTGAGCCATCTCTCCAGCCCCTATTTTAAACGTTTTTATTTCATCTTACTTCTTTAGTGTATGTGCCTGCCATGGCATGCACGTGGAGGTCATAGGACAGCTCAAGGGAGTTGGTTTTTTTGCCTCTGCTTGGTATGTCCTAGGACTGAACTTCAGTCCTCAGGCTTGGTGGCAGATACCGTTACTTGCTGAGCCACCCTGCTGGTCCTGATATTTTTATTTTATGGTTCTTTTAATGAAATACTAAATCTTGTAAGCATCTGTGCCTACATTTTCTTTAACAACTTTTTAAAAAAGATTTATTCATGTATTTATTATGTATACAATGTTCTGTCTGCATGTACACCTGCACATCAGAAGAGGGCACCAGATCTCATTATAAATGGTTGTGAGCCACCGCTTGGTATCTGGGAATTGAACTGAGAACCTCTGGAAGAGCAATGCTCTTAACCTCTGAGCCATCTATCCAGCATCCAGCCCCCCCCCCCTTTTTTTTTTTTTTTTTGAGACAGGGTTCCTCTATGTGTAGCCCTGGCTATCCTGGAATTCACTTTGTCCACCAGGCTGGCTTTGAACTACACAGCGATCTGCCCGCTTTTGCCTCGCAAGTGCTGGGATCAAAGGTGTGCACCCCCTTGCCCTGCGTCTTTCACAACTTTGTTTATACATATTGACATGCGTGCTATGCGTTCACCCACTCGCAGTGTGTAGTTTAGTGATATAACTTCAGTGTGTTCACAGGGGACCAACCATCGCCACAGTCTAGCTCCATTTGCCACTGATGGCCATTCACCATTTCTCACCCAGTCCCTTTTCTTGTCTCCATAACTTTGCCTATTCTATGCACTTAAGGAATCATACAATATGACAGATATTTTTCACTTACTCTACTCTCTTCAAAATGCATCTGTGTTGGGAAATACCACTTATTTTCACTGGCTAAGTACACTTCTTTGTGTGTTTATACCTACTTTATTAATTAACTGATAGATATTTGAATTGTTTCCATTATTGGGCAATCACAAACAATTTTTTATACAAATAAATGCAGCTACAAATAAATATCTATGTATATTTTCCTGAACATATTATAAATTCTCTAAATATTTTTAGACATATTAAATATTCACGTATAAGTTTTTGTCTCTTGGGCGCATTATTGGGATGGAAGTGCTGGGCTGTTGGTGTCTGCTTATCCTTTTCCAGTACATCTTGTTAGCGGTGGCAAATCTAAAGTAAAGCTTAGTTTTGTCCCATGTCAGAGCCTTAGATTCATAAGTGGCCCCTTCTGTGATGGTTGTGACTGGAAATTGTAAAGACTTTTAGTCGCCATCAGCCAAATCCCAACCTAAAGAGCGTTAAGGCGTCTGGCTTCCTGCTGCTTGCCTTCACTTTTATTCTTTTAGTAGCCAGAAGTCATACTTCTCAGAGTGAGAAGAGAGCAGTGCGCAAACCAAGCGTGATAGCCTGAGTCATGCTTTACAAAAGTTTCTGAAGAGTTCCCACTTGGGTGATTTTGTACCTGTTAGCAAGTTAACACACAGAGAGACACACAGAAACACACACACACACACACACCTACAACCCCTTCATAACCAGTTTTTGTTTAGTGCATATTTTTACAATGTAGGACTTTAAAAATGAAATAATGATTAATTCTTCTTTTCATCCAGTTTCTGCGACCAGCTCTTCTTAAAATTAAGGAAATGTGCTATCAACTGAGTTTTATGGGGCTTTTTTATATTGAAAAATTTCACACCTACACCCTGCAGGAGTTCAAGGCTGCGCAGGTTGTGCGACTACAGGAGGTAATGGATTTTGCCTGTCAAGTTTCAGATTCCTCTCTTCCCTGGAGACTTTGCTATGACTAATTACACCTTCCCATGGATGCTCAGGTGACAGAGCGCCTGGAAGATTTCCGAAGTGAGGCAAAAGACGTGGTCAGGAAGTCTTGTCGCTTTGCCTTACGTGCGGCGGGGTTTATTCCCGATGACTGTATTGAGCAATTTGAGGGTATGAAGGGCCGAGGACGGGGAGGGCTCGAGAGGGGTAGCCTTCGGAAACACTGCCTCTTCTGTGCTTTCCTTTCCTTTAGAGTTAAGTGGCTCTTCTCTTTTCACCTGTTCCAAAGTTCTGCTTGTACACGTAAATTCTATATATTCCTTTTCTGGGGTTAAGAATTGTTTCACACATCAAAGATTTTGTTGCTTCTGTGTATTTTTTTTTTTGAATGAATATTGAAAGATGAAACACAAAAGATTTGTGCGTTGTATCATCCTTAGATTACTTTAAGTTAAACAGTGCAAGTTTTGTTGGCGCTCCGTTTGATTTGCCCGCGTACGGAGAATCTGATAAAATGACATACACAGAGCAAGCCAGCAAAAGGCATCACTGCTTCAGGCTCACCTGGTGAGAGCGTCTGCTTTCTTTCTTTCTTTCTTTCTTTCTTTCTTTCTTTCTTTCTTTCTTTCTTTCTTTCTTTCTTTCTTTTTCAGGATAAAGTAGAGAATCTATAGTTTTTTTCTTAAGATGTATTTATGTGTTTTATGTCTGAGTACTTTTCGGCATGTACAACTGCATACCACAATACAGCTTCAGATAGTTGAGCTGCCACGTGGGTGCTGGGAATCAAACTTGGGACCTTCGAAGAGTCTTTACCACTGAGCCATTTCTCTAGCCCCGAGAATCTATCCTTCTTAAGAGAGGAAAAAAATCAACACTGGGCTGAGGAGATGGCCCACTGGGTACCCCACAAACCTAATGATTTCTAGAACCCAAGTAAAACATAGATACAGCTAGCAATGGCAGCACTCAATAAGGACACAAATGAGTGCCTTTGAGCTAAGGGCTGCTGTCAAAGAACATTGGCACGCACCAGGAGTGCAGTGTTGCAGGGGTGAGGCTCCCAAGTGCATGCGCCCTAGGAGCTAAGTTGCAAAGATTTCAGACTTTGCAGACACAAGTTACACAAGTTACACGAATTCTCTGCATAGATATTTTCTTTAAAGCTCTGGGAAGAACTCCTATGACCCTTTGACTAGAGGAGCCAGATGCATTCTTCTTTTTACTTTTTATTGTAATTTATTCACTTTGTGTTCCTATTACAGCCCCTTCCCTCATCTCCCCACAGTCCCACCCATCCTCCTTCTTCTCCCACTATGCCCCTCCCCTTGTCCACTGATAGGGGAGGTCCTCCTCCCCTTCCCTCTGACCCTAACCTATCAGGTCTCATCAGGACTGGATGCATTGTCTTCTTCTGTGGCCTGGCAAGTCTGCACCCTCCAGGGGGAGGTGATCAAAGAGCCAGCCACTGAGTTCATGTCAGAGACAGTCCCTGTTCCCATTACCAGGGAACCCACTTGGAAACTGAATACCCATCTTGTTCAGCAAATAGCCCATGAGAAAGTTCAAACGACTAGAAATATTGCTTTCCTGTATTTGAATATATTTATGCTTTCAATGGAAGAAGGTCTAAGAATAATTCTGAACTATCATGTTATAATATAATTCAACTAAAATTCCAGTGGACATTATGTTTTAAATTTTAAACTCTTGCCTTAGAGTTGCTATCAAAACTGTGTAGTAATCGTAGGATGCTGAGAACCTTTGCCTTTCTCTCCAGCTTCATCCGTCTGAATGACTACCTAATTCAGAGCACACTGCACGTCCTAACGGTAAACACTGCCAGCCAGCTTCTCAATTTTCTCACTGACAAAATAAAGCGGACTCCCTCAGCAGACGTCATTCAGAAGTGGATTACTGAAGATAAGCCTGAAGTCAGTGAGAAAAAGGTACATGTGGACAAAATCAAGTCTCCAGGCGTTCACTGAGGGGTGTCTCTCTGTTGGGATTTTTGCTGTTGTTTTCTATATTCTGGAAAAACAGAAAATTTTATTTGAATATTATATTGGTTAGTTATTATATTAATTACTATATTAATGTAATAATTAAAACCCACAATTAATTACTAGTTAATGTTTTGTAAGTTATTAATTAATGATTAATATTATAGTTTATATTGTTGCTAATTAATATTATTGAATATTATATTGGTTGATTATTATATTATATGCCATCTTGACCCAACCTAGAATCATCCAGGAAGGGAGTCTTAATGAAGAATTATGTAAGTCAGGCTGGCCTTTGGGCATGTCTGTAGGGAATCATCGTTGGTGAAGAAAACTGCCCCGAAGGTTGAAGCCACCATTTCCTGGGCTGAGCCATGGGCTGTGGGAGTCTAGGGAGTGAAAAAGACAAGCAAGGACGCACTCGGACTCTGTCCCTGACTGTGGATGTGATATAGCTAATGGCTGCGTTTCTTTCTTGACCTCCCCTCAGTGATAGACTGTAGCTTGGAATTATGAGCCCAACCAACCCTCTCCTTTCCTGTGTTGCTTTTTGTCAGGATATTTTATGATATCAAGTATGTGAACTCCATTTCTGTTGAAAGTTGTTTTCTAAGTTTGTTTGCATTTCCATTTTTACAAAGAGAAGTATTTTTAGGCCTTTGTATTATCTTCCAATGTTTTAATTTTTGTTCTTCATGGTATGATTCCACATTTCAAGTGTTGTTCTCTGTTCGTGGGGGCCTGGATTCCAGCTGGGGTCCTGGCACTTGGCTTCTGGACAGAGAACGACATCTTGTTTCTCTCAAGGGAAGCTAGAGCATCTTAGGGTGAGGCCTGAGTGTGCTAAGCTAGGGTGTGGATAAGGTTTTCCACAGAGTGTTACAGTTTGGCTCTTTTAGCATGAGATCACCAGTGGCAATGAAAGCTTTGCCAAGACCCATGCCTGGTTGGCTTGCAGCCAAGGCACAGGTCAAGGAGGCCCAGGCCCAGTGGGACAGAGGGCAGGCCTGGTGAGACACCTGAAATCAAGGGCAACATAAAGCCTGGGCAGAGGACGGGATTTCGAGGGTAAATGTGTTTGACTCGCAGGCATCGGGGAGTCAGGGATACTTTAATGGTCCTATCACAAGAAGGAGATTATCCTATGGGGGGGGGGCACGGAATCTCGAGGTCACTGCTGGACTAAGATCCTTAGCACGGTAGAGCGTTTCTAGGAATTCCTGGAACAGTTTTCATATCAGGGTAGGGTTTGGGCTATAACCTGCCCTGAGGGCTATGTGACCCCCTTCAAGGTCTGGAATTACCCAGATAAGGGGACTAGAACCCCGATAAGAAAAAAGTCTTTCATCATAGACAGAGCACAAATAAGTTGCCTATCGGGAGATGACTGACTTCAGCCTTACCCAGTAGAGCCCCACAGCCAAAGATCTAAATTCAGCTCATGCTGTGACCCGATGGGCCACTGGTCTTGGTAGTCTGCCTTGCTTTATAGCGTTCTACCAGGTGGGCTCTCTGTAACCGTGTCCATGTGGTCCTTTCAGGGGGCCACCCCACTGATGGAGAAGCAGGAAGAAGATGAGTCTCTCATTCCCCTGTTCCTCACAGAACTGATTCTTACGGTTCAGTCACTACTTTTTGAGCCTTCTTTGGAAGACTTTCTGGTGCGTATTTCATTATCTAACATCCGCAAGTAAGCAACCTTTAAAATAGTGGAGTGGCTTCTTTATGCTCGGCTGATTGGAAAGACTGCAGTTGGCACAACAGTGCTAACTCTTGCCTGGGGGAAAATTAGAGGCTTGAGGCAGCCCTCACAGGACTATTCAGGGTGGTACAAACTTTCCGTTGACTAAAACAGCCCTCTGAGCAGAGTCTAAGACGTGGCCACTTTTGAAGATTTTTTTCCAAAATCATATTTTACCTTAGAAAATTCTATTTTTTGGTTATTCATTGCTCTTTAACAATATCTTTAACAATTAATACACTTATCAACATAAAATAATAACCGTGTTCCCCCTAAATGGTGTTTTGTGTGTATTGGTATGCCTACATACCTAATATATCATTAGGTTATATGCACGTGGACATATTTTTAAATTTGAAGTTCTATAGTGTTCTCTGTCCATCTTTCCTTTTCAAAATTATTTTGTTATTTTTTTCAAAATTTCTTTTCTTTTTATGATTTATTTTTAATTTTATGTGCATTTGTGTTTTGCTTGCATGTTTGTCTTTTTTAAAAGATTTCTTTATTTACTGTGTATACAGTGTTCTGACTGCATGTACACCTGCACACCAGAAGAGGGCACCAGCTCTCACTATAGGGGGTTGTGAGCAACCATGTGGTTGCTGGGATTGAGCTCAGGACCTCTGGAAGAGCAAATAGCGCTGTTAACCTCTGAGCCATCTCTCCAGTCCTATGTCTATATTTTTTTCTCCTTAATATTATATCATAAACATTCCTCCATGTCCAATTACTTTGTAAACATTTTATAGCATTTATATATGGTATATATTAATATATGTAGTTATATATATTATATATAATATGTAATATATAGTTATCATAATATATAATCGCATATTATCTAATTAACATATATTAATGTATATCATAATTCATAGGTCTGAGCCACCATTTTTCAATATTTTTGTTATTTATCTTAGCTATTATGAGTAACTCCACAGTCAATATCTTTGCACATAAATCTTTGTTTCTATGTCTAATTTTTAACAGTTTATATTTGTAGACTAGAAAATATTTTTCAAAAACCAATAAACTTGTAATCATCATTCAAATTTTTCCTGAAGTTTCATTTGGCTTTCCTTCTCTCATAGCCCTCTAGTGTTTTGCTCACATTTCCAATCTGTATCTCATCACAATGTGTTGCAATTCTTTTTTGTTTGTTTTGTTTTTCAAGAAACAATTTCTTTGTATAGCCGTAGCTGTCCTGGAACTAGCTCTGTAGACCAGGCCGGCCTTGAACTCATAGAGATCTGCGCACCTCTGCCTCCCTAGGATTGAGATTAAAGGCATGCACACCCCCACCCAGCCACTCACCAGCAATCTGCCTCCTTCTTAATTAGAAATTATTTGCTCTGAAAGCAGAACTGTGTCTTCTGATTTGCTGTAGTCTTGGAACTGCAAAGCCAACACACCTGCTCTGGTTGAGTTATTCCTTTAAAAAAAAAAATTGTTCATTCATTCATTCAATCTGTCTCTGCCTGTGTGTGTGTGTGTGTGTGTGTGTGTGTGTGTGTGTGTGTGTGTGTGT